CAGCTCTTCAGTTTTATGCAGACGAAGGATTTATCTACAAACTGAGCTTTAAACTGTTTTTCTACGTGAATGTATGCCAACACAGTGAAGCGCTGTTTTTTATGCTGTTTTTTTCCTCTCCCCATTCATTTCCTATGGGAATTTTTTGCGACGTTTTCGCTAATAATTCGCAAACCTTCGGACTAATGAGAAAGTTTTATACAAGCACGCATCGCCCCATTGGTCTCTACGCGTGTGCCAACTTTGGGCCCGATCCGACGAATGGTGCGTGACTAGTTACGCGCCGAAGTTTTTGGTGGCGAGGAGAACTATAAGCTATAATAAAAATAATACGCGGAATAAATATGTGAGATAGTAGTAGGTGGGCCATGCCTTCGGCATGTGGCCCCCCTAATAATACGCGGAATAAATATGTGAGATAGTAGTAGGTGGGCCATGCCTTCGGCATGTGGCCCCCCTAATAATACGCGGAATAAATATGTGAGATAGTAGTAGGTGGGCCATGCCTTCGGCATGTGGCCCCCCTAATAATACGCGGAATAAATATGTGAGATAGTAGTAGGTGGGCCATGCCTTCGGCATGTGGCCCCCCTAATAATAATACGCGGAATAAATATGTGCAATAGTAGTAGGTGGGCCATGCCTTCGGCATGTGGCCCCCCTAATAATACGCGGAATAAATATGTGAGATAGTAGTAGGTGGGCCATGCCTTCGGCATGTGGCCCCCCTAATAATACGCGGAATAAATATGTGCAATAGTAATAGGTGGGCCATGCCTTCGGCATGTGGCCCCCCTAATAAATATGTGCAATAGTAATAGGTGGGCCATGCCTTCGGCATGTGGCCCCCCTAATAATACGCGGAATAAATATGTGCAATAGTAATAGGTGGGCCATGCCTTCGGCATGTGGCCCCCCTAATAATACGCGGAATAAATATGTGAGATAGTAGTAGGTGGGCCATGCCTTCGGCATGTGGCCCCCCTAATAATACGCGGAATAAATATGTGAGATAGTAGTAGGTGGGCCATGCCTTCGGCATGTGGCCCCCCTAATAATACGCGGAATAAATATGTGCAATAGTAGTAGGTGGGCCATGCCTTCGGCATGTGGCCCCCCTAATAATACGCGGAATAAATATGTGCAATAGTAGTAGGTGGGCCATGCCTTCGGCATGTGGCCCCCCTAATAAATATGTGCAATAGTAATAGGTGGGCCATGCCTTCGGCATGTGGCCCCCCTAATAATACGCGGAATAAATATGTGCAATAGTAGTAGGTGGGCCATGCCTTCGGCATGTGGCCCCCCTAATAATAATAATACGCAGAATAAATATGTGCAATAGTAATAGGTGGGCCATGCCTTCGGCATGTGGCCCCCCTAATAATAAGCATGGACTAATAAAATAATTACGCATATGTTCTTAGTCCATGCTATAATAAAACAGGAACGGGAAAATCAATCCAAATTTATGGTGCAGATCCCTAAAGACATTCATGTAAAACACAATCTTGTGTTGCATTCAGTACACAAACATACCTGTGAATGCAGGAGGAGTCTTTAAACAGTGCTGGGTTCCAGCTTAGATAAATGACATCATAATACTGACAGAGATCCTCCCATGCAATCCAGAAAACCCCTAAAAATGATACAAAAAATTTTAATTAGAAGGATTGTTCATTGTTAGAACATCTGACATAGATTGCAGGACAAATTGGGATTTTTAATACAACAATCCAAAAAGGACACTTTACAGGTTTCTCATTGTCTTCTTATAAATATAATTTTTATCTACTTTGGTTTCTCATTAAATGTGTTTAGTGGTTTCATGTCTATCCTTCTGTCGTGAAACTCTGTAAAACACTTGATTTAAGTTCTCTGTGAATTAACATTGACTGACTGATTAATTAAACACCTGCTCTCACTTTAAAGAGAATAAAAGATGCTTCACATCCTGGAGAGTTTCTAAGTGAACAAATTAAAGCGATTGTTTTGTTTTATATCACGCCCTCCCTTTTTGATTCCTAAAATGTTAGAAGGATTATGTATGCAGCATCATGAATATACCATTATCAAACTTCTGTGCCGTCTTGGGGTCAAAGTTGAGGTATTTAAGGAGCTCCGGCGTCCAGTTTTTCTCATCCCGCTCGCTGTAGCGCCCCTTCCAACGCAGATGACTCCATGGATTTTTCAGCTGCAGGAAACGCATTCCCTACAAGTGTAAAAGACACAGAGAAGCAGATTTAATCTTCGTACTCTAGCTGCTGAATTACCAAACCAAATCTTAGGAAGCAATGCAAGCTGTAGGACTTGATATGGAGGATAACAAGTTCCCGTCCTTATACTGCCAGTTTTAGATGCAGCAATTCTTTGGGAAAGCTGACTTATAAGGAGAGGCGTCAAGTAATGAAGTATGGAGGATAAAAAGTGCCAAAATTAAATAAATAAATACAGCATTAAATAAATAATTAAATGTGTAATTCATTAAATAAATAAGGAATTAAATATATAAATGTGTCATTAATTTAATAAGATACGTCTTCATTTTATAAAAAAAATATATATAATTATTTCAGTGTGCATTTAATTATTTCATGGTCCTGTGTCGCAGTGCATCGAAATCATTAAAACAATCTGTCAAATTCACCCATCAAAGTTAGGGGGCGGGGTTAACGCGAATCGAGTTGCCACCTACTTTGTCAGAGTATGTTCACAACCTGTGGATCACAGTCTCTGTAATCGATTTGCTTCGCCTTAATGTGCAGGGTGACCAATCAGGTGTTAAAGGAATAGTACACCCAAAACATGATTAGCCTTCATTTTCTACTCACCCCCATGCTGAACAACACTCTGGAGTACTTTTTTGATATCTCAAATGCATCTGGAGATCTGGGAGGCTTCTTGCTGTCTGCTGACATTCAAATAATGGAGGTCTGTGGCGCCCGAGGCAGAAAGGTCCATAAAAGTCCACAAAAAACGTGTCAATATTCCTCCATACTACTGCGCACTTTCATCTGGTTTGGTCTGCCGGCTTCCGTAGCGTCGTGATCGCGCATGTGCGCGCTTTCAGGAAATCCTATACACTACTGTTTAAGCTCTAAAAACATTCTAAATGACTTCGTTTCGAGTAAATTCTGGATGCTACCCACTCAGGACACTTGGAATACATTGGACGAGCAGTATGGAGGAATATTGACACGTTTTTTGTGGACTTTTATGGACCTTTCTGTCTCGGTCACCATAGACCTCCATTATTTGAATGTCAGCAGACAGCAAGAAGCCTCCCAGATCTCCAGATGCATTTGAGATATCAAAAAAGTACTCCAGAGTGTTGTTCAGCATGGGGGTGAGTAGAAAATGAAGGCTAATCATGTTTTGGGTGTACTATTCCTTTAAGATAACCGCCCCCTAACTTTGATGGGTGAGTTTCTTTTAATGGTTTCGATGCACTGCGACACAGGACCATGAAATAATTAAATGCACACTGAAATAATTATATATATAAATATATATATATATATTTTTTTTTATAAAATGAAGACGTATTTTATTAAATTAATGACACATTTATATATTTAATTCCTTATTTATTTAATGAATTACACATTTAATTAATTGTTTATTGCTGTATTTATTTATTTCATTGTGGCACTTTTTATCCTCCATAATGAAGTACAAATACTTTGTTACTGTACTTAAGTACACTTTTTAGGTATCTATACTTTACTCCATTATTTTTTTCCTACTTCTGACTTCTACTCATCACATTTTCACACAAGTATCTGTACTTTCTATGCCTTGCATTTTTAAAACAAACGTTACTCGTTACTCTTGGCTTCGGTTTAATGTTTATGTATAAATATTTATTTCACGTCATCTGCACAGTCTAATGCAGATCTTCAGAAGCAAGCAGGTGTTCTTCAAATTGCAAACGTAAATTGTCTATGCCATGCTACAATGTTGGATTCAGAAAAACATGTTGAAATGTCTGAAAGGTCGGACACAGGCGAGAGCGAATCGGGAGACGGAGACCAACAAGACCTCCCTTATCCTTGGCCCTATCTCAAAGAAATTTTTCAAAATAGTAGAAAAATTGAGCTTTAAGTTCATATAGTGGCATCTGCTTGATACTTTTTTATTTTAAGTAGTTTTTGGAGCACATGCTTTTTCACTTCTACTTGAGTAAAGAGGTCAAGTTGATACTACAATTTTTACCAGAGTGTTTTTAAACTGCAGTATCTATAGTTCTACTTAAGTAACAAATGTGTGGACTTTTGACACCACTGCTTATAAGGGTGAAATCCTTTAAAAGTATCGGGTCAGCTAGATGTTCTCCATGCTTATGAATAAATTGACCTGAACTAACCTTGTATTCCCTGATGTCAAGAACTGCATAGGCATGTGTTGGCACCAAACCCCATCTATCACCTTCCTCCTCTGTCATCACCCCCGTCGCCGTGGTGATGAGACAGTCCCCCCTGTGGAATCTGAACACAGAGGCCAAGTTAAAAAAAGGAAGACGTCTCAGAAGTTAAACACAGGAGCGACTAAAATAGAGCCGTCTGTGTGTTATTACCTTTGGAAGAGCATGCGGAAGGTGTCTTCCTTGTTGAAGGACTGATTGTCAGAGTGCATAGCAATGCGCTCAGGGATCCAGCCAGTGAGTGCATGCAGATCGATATTCTGTAAAAAAGAAAGCTTAAATATTTATCTTGAAAAGCAAAAAGTTTGGTGTCAAATATAAATATATGTTTGTGTACAGGACATAATATAAAAAGAAATAAGAAAAGATCCAAATGAATCACATTCCAATTAATAGAGTCTACATTTTAGATGAGCAACTTGTGCTTTTTTTTTTCTTTTTAGGAAGCAGATACAATAACAATACAATGACTGGAAAACAGTTTAAAACCGTAGGCGCTACCCTCCAATGCACTCACCGAGTTGGAGCCAGGGAAATCGTAGCCACCCATCACCTTCATGTAAGCCTTCTCTATCAGGGAAACCCACAGCTCATTGCGGTTGCTGGAGTAGGAGCAGAGCAGCTCTCCGTTACGATCCACCGGAAGGTAGTCATCTATGATCACCTGAAGAAAGAGAAATACCAACATCCATGGAGGAACATGAGTAAAATAAAAAATGTAGACATATTGTCTTTTACAGGGTTCCTACAGCATAAGGCAATTTAATTCAATACTTTTTAATGCCACTTGAAATAAAAATCTAAGATCAAATTCAAAAGAAACACAAGAAAAACCTGCTTACGACAACTTAACCCAAAGGTTTATTTTAACATAAACCACTGCACTAATGTTTCAAATTTTGAAAAGCCTCCCATACAGGAAGAAAGCTAAAAACAAACAAATGACAGATATATTTGAGCAATTATTTAACTGAATTCACAAACATTTGTTTTAGCAGGGAACGAAACAAATCAGTTTTAAAGCCACAACATAACCAGTGCTTAGTCTTTTTTGCAGCTATTTTTCTTTGTATCGTTTTCTTAGTATGTTTGATTTGGTGATAAGTGGAGGCGTTGCAGAGACAAGGGTGGAACAAAACTGTGAAATACCGGCTGTTTCTCGGTAACTCCATTTTGACGATTTGTGTTTCGCGTTTCGCATGTGCGACTCCACTGCCTTAATTCCCATCGTTCCGAGCTTGAACGACTTCTTGCACAAAATCCACTGAGCCTCATGTATGTTCCCTGGTTTTAGCCATGGAGGAAACTCTTGGCTGGAGACAAATTTGGTTACATTTACACTTGCTCATATTTTCCAGACAAAAAGCTAATGGCGCATCTCCCAAATGTCCCGGCCGCAACAACGCTTTTATTGGTTCCACTATCGGGACGGAACCAATAATGGCGAGCCATTATTTTTTTTAAATAAAAAAAAAATTGTCAATTTTAATGTTTTATTTAGATTACAAAAATAAATCGTAATAAAAATAATCCTATTTATGATGTTTTAAAAATTAAGACCTACTAAAGATTGATTTAAGACGTTTTAATACCAATTAAGGCCTTAGTTTTTTATTTTGAAGAATTCAATGCCTTTTAAGACTTTTTAAGGACACGCAGTAACCCTGTTTTAATTCGTGACTACCTTTACAGCTTAGTGCATTTTTATAGAATAAACTAACTATCTTCCAACTTTTGAATAAGGTTTATGGGATCCTATTAGTTTGATATTAGTAGATTTTTCTTCAATAATACTGTGAGTTGGTTTTCTATGGTAACCTTTCTGGGCACTCCATTGATGTGAAGTTTGACCATGTACTTTCCACAGGGGTTATACTCTGGTTCTCCTCGCCTGTTCTGAGGGTAGATGATGCTGCAGGGGAGAAAAAAACAAACAGATTTCAGTTCTTATGTTCTATGTAAGCCGAATGCTGTTGCAATGAAAAAAGAAGCTGCAGTCATACCTGGTGATGAGTTTCTTGTTGTAGCGCCTCTCATAAGCTGCACTGATGGCCAGTGAAGCCACAAATGAACAGTCAGAGACCACCGTCTAAACAAACATGGGTAATTCAAGACACACAACGTGCAATTAGCTTTTCAGAGCCATCAGAAATCACTTTTTATCACTGGTAGCATCGGTTCTCAGTGAAACTGAAAACTGTTTCAGTGTCGTGCATCAATCTGGGCTTTGACTTTAAAAACGAATGTTCTGTTCTGCTTTAAATGCTCTATACCTGTGATGATGTTGCACCACCTACTGGGTAATTTGGACATTACATATCAATGATATTAGCTTTATTCAGAATAAATGAAAGATTAAAGAATAAAAAGTGTGAAGGAATAACTTTCTATACTGAAAACATCAGCATATGAGTTGGAATGAGTTGCGAACCTGTTTGATGCTGAAGCTGGACACAGACATGATCATGGTGGGATTATTGCAGATCTCATCTGGCCGAACCCAGCGGGAGAAGATGGCTTTCTGTTTGGGAGAAAGAGCAAGTTTCCCAGTTTTGTCCCTGTAAGAAAAAAAAAAGATAACTAAAAATGTTTAAATCATTTCAAAAGAAGCATTCAGCAAAAGGCTTAGTTCAACAAGCCAATTTACTCTGAATCAGAAAAAACTTTACTGTGTAAGTGTGTTACACAAAAAAAAGGATTTTTGGTTTGGTGTGACACATTGGTAAAAAATGCAAGTGAAGGAAAGGAAGGAAATATATAATTTAAACAGGCATATGCAAGTTATACAGGAATGTTATGAGGATAATAAAAGGTTTTACTGCAACTTTTTGCAAAGGAAAAGCACTGAAACTGGTATTAAAAGTAAACAGTACTAATAATACAAAAATAGATTTAGCAGAAACAAGATATATAATTTAAATCTAAATTATTTATTTAAACGAGACAAAAGCATCTGATTCTTCATATCTGGCATCCAAATATCGTTTATTATTAATTTTTAACAATGTTTAACAGAATGTAGCAACCACTCTAGAGATGTTTTACTGAACAGAAAGATGAATTATATTTTAATGAATAATATTTTTTCACTTTTGCATGTGAATAATTTTGGTGCAGAAACTTTTTTGGACAGGACCGTAACCTTAAAAGGCATCTTTGAGGTGAGTTACAACAGAGATTCTGGTTCTGGTTGTCTCATTTAACAATCGGCACACCTCTGAACCATGAGGAAGACGTTTACAGAATAGTTAAAGCTGCTGGGAAAAGGGAACATCAACAAACTCCACACTAAAAAAACAATTATTTAGGTCATCAGAGATTCACGTACATGGGAAATTATACCGCTACTTTTGGTGATATAGTTTTTTTTCCATACCCATTCCATGTTTTTTCATTGTTTGAGTTAAGCTTATTACTATGACATATACTGGAAAAATAAGAGTTCCATGTCAATATCCCGTAATGTTTTGATGACAGAATAGGGATTTTTAGTTCATTCGTAAAAAATTTATGAATCCTACTTATGAAGTTTTTAACTTTTTACTGATTGACTGAGCTTTAAATGTTTTGTGTTTTTTTTTTTTTTTATGTGGAGAAACCAGTTCAGTTAGATGTTTGGCTTTTTTCCCTCATTGTGTGGATAGTCCATTTTCAGTTTTTATTAACTGAAGTAAACGTTTACACTTTAGATTCGATGGCAATAAATCTTTAAAGCCGAGTGACAATAAGGACTAAAACTCACGAGAACGGTACAGGGAAGGCAAATCGCTCCTTTAAGTCCACACTCATGAAGGGCATATAGGCAATGCCATTGATTGTAGATGTACTCCTGCAAAGGTAGGCAGAGCAGAACTGATTAAAAACATTGAAACTGATAACAGAAATCTTCCACACCGGTAGAAGTCATTGCTGACCAGAGTTTCTAACCCCAGACGGTTTTATAAAAAAAATATACAAATAAAAATGCAATGACACGATACATTTGGTTCCTCTGACTCATAACATAAAGAGCTTTGTTAGATCGTTTCATTAACCATCTCACCTGAGGACCTCGATCTCCTCAGCTGTGTACCGTTGACCCTGGGGCTCACTGGACTGAACCGCTCTGATTGGTTGAGGCTGTGGTCGGTCGTGGACTGAGAAGTCTGGCCCGAGAGGGAAGAACTGACGAACCGGTCCGCTTGAACCGCCGCTGGACTTGGTTCCTGGAGGCCCTGTTCTGTCCTGAGACTGTGCCGAGGTTGACTTGGATTGCGACTCTTTAAGACCTTCAGCTCTGCAGAAACATTTGGGAAACATACAGGATGTCAGAATTATACTTTTAGTTGTTTTAAACAAATATACTGTTTTTAATTATCATTACCTGAAAATAATAATAAAGGACATTGAAGGTAAACTAACTAAGCATGAAAATGGGACTTTAAATATTCATAACACTTTGTCAAAGCTCTTTTAAATACTTCTGACTGATATGGAGAAAAAGGATTTAAGGCTTTCAAATCAAAGGTTTAAAAGTGTTTAATGTCTAGTTGGCTGAGGGTTCAGGTCGGCACTAGATCTGACCTGTCCAAAGCTTGACGTGCCAGCTGCTTCAGCTTCGTCTGAAGAGTCTGATCTGATGACTCGTTCGACTGACAGGAAAAAACAGAAAGGAGGAATAAATAACATATGGTTTACCATCAATGACTTTGAAAAGGACAAACATTTATACGGAGGGAAAAATACCGTCTTTATGCAGAGCTCCACGGCCTGAGTGTACAGCTCTATAGCTTCATCACCGTTCCCCTTCTCATCTTCCTCAAAGGCCTGAGTTACCAGGAAGTGGGCGCGCTCTAGGTCCACCTGGTGGCGGGATTTCAGCGGGTCGATCTTCTCAGACTGGACTGGATTAGAAGTTTAATGAAATTAAAATACAGGAAGTTTGTTCAGCTAAACTGATTAGACTGTTGTTTACTTGAAATGAGAACATACTGTCCCCAATTATTATTTTATTTTCATTGTAATGGGTTAATTTACAATAAATGGGCAAAATACATATCAAAATTCCAAAAAAGTAAAAAAAAAACACTCCACTGGACTTGGTTTCCAAGTTTGAAGACTTTTTGTTTCCCATCCAGGAAGCTTTTTCAATTCAAAATGTCAGAATACATATCAAAATCTTAAAGGCCTTTAAAAAAAAAAAGATTTCAGTTCTAAATCTTATACACAGAGCTAAACTCTGGGCAGTAGTTGTCAAAAACAGCGTATACTCCAGCCATCTGTGGACACACCCATGTCAACAAAGATCCAGCCGCAGGGAGCAGAAACCAGTGGAAAACTACAGTCAAACATCTAATGTTAAAAGCACTTCAGAGCTTAGAAAACATTATTCCATAAAGATCTAATACCTGCAACAAAAAGCAAACACCTCAGGAAATGATAATAAAAACTATGAAACTATAGGTAGAAAAAATAGAATAAAAAAAGGGAAAAAGGGAAGCAGTTCAGTACTACATTATACTACACAGAAAACTCAATAGAAAAGTTATTTTTGAAAGTAAGCGATGAAAGTCTAGTTTTCCGTGTGAAACAAGCTCCATAGGGATCACTGCAAGGGTTAAATTCAGTGAACTGGTCAGATCAGAATAGACATAAGACAACATGCAAATTATTACATGTGATGGAACATTTATACATCTCTCTGAAAACATTTTCCTAAGAGGGATGTTTTTAATCTTTAGCAGGGATGTTATTAGAGGAATTGAGATGTTATAAAACCTAGTAGAGACATTTGAATATGGCAAGGATTCTACAAAATATCCATCGCTACCAAAGAGCGGTTTAGATATAAGTATATCCATGTGTTGAATTGGTAAAGTTAAAATCTAGCCTGAAACAAACTGAGAATCTGTAGGAAAAAATAAAATCTGATGTTTAACCACTGGATCTATATCCAGTCTGTCTGAGCTTAAGCTATTTTACAAAGAATTGGCATAATTTTCCGTCTCTCGATATGCTTTATTTAGTTACTGCCTGAGAGGACTTTCAGCTGCAACATCAACAAAAGCTGATCCTAGAAAACAGTAAGCATGTATGATGGGTTTTTCAATCATGTTTTCCCCAAGTTTGTCTAATAAAGGTCATTTTAGGCCAATGCCTATCAGTCCAACCAATCCTTGATATGTGCTGCCCATATATTTGGGTCGATTCTACGACCCAAATATATCTTACTCCATTTACTTGATAAAAAAGTGTTATAAGTTAAATTAATCTTACAAAAGTCTCAATTTATTAAGAAATCAAAAAGAACACTAATGATGGAGAGCGATTGAATGCAGTGGCAATGCATGTGCCTCAAGTGTCCTTACAGGTATAGAGGACAATCTTTTATTTCTGGGTGGATCATCAAAATAATGGTCCTCCTAATTGCAATCATTCTGGTGATATGTTTATGTAAGACCGTCCTACGTGCTCACCCTGTTAGCTATCTTTTTCTGGACATGCACACTTCAGTGCGTATATCTTTGGTGAGCTACAGTATCAGACAGTTATTGCCACTACCCCACAGGGGCGACTAACAACAAAGATGGCTCAGGCACCACGCAATGAAGGATGAGTTACTACCAATGGGGAGTAAAAAGCAGTGATTATCTGTCTGAACGGTAAGTTAAAGGAAAATTCCCTTTTTTTAACACTTTTAGCCCATTTTCTGTAGTGTCCAGGATGAAATCGAATGATCAACACCAAAATTTTGACAATTGGCCCTGTCTCTGCTATTTGGCTCATGCAGAATCCCCCTCTGGCTGCTTCAGAATGGCTTCCATAGTGCATGTCCGATAATGTCCTTAAAACAACCTTAAACGTTCTTTTTTTAAAATATGCTACTCACCGGGTCGTCAGCGCTGTTCAATGACGTTCCCAAAAAAGTTTCGTGAAGAAAAACCGTTCCTGTCTTGTTTTATTTAGCATTTTGTAAGTTTACGAAAAAGTCCACCATAAAGTCCCTGCTCTATTTAGTAATTGGGGGATTTAGTAAGCTTGTATGAGCTATGAGAGCAGCTACTTTTAAAAAGAGCGTGCACAAGGAGAAATGGGCTTGTGCACCCGGGTACAGGGTTGTGCAAGAGCATTTATTTTTAAGTGGAGAGGGCTGGTCTTTTAAAAAAGAAACCTTTAAAGCAGCAATGCATAAATAAACTGCATGCATGTGTCAGCTGATATCGATACAAGAAAACAACCGGAATATTGTTCAAATGTCAGACTGCCAATGTATCAGCCTGTATTCACAACTATCCACTACTTTGTCTTGGGCTGGGACATATATTTACGGTAATAAAAATACAATATTTGTGGATTTAAAGTGTCAAAATATGAACATGGATAAAAATATGACTACAAAGCCTGGTAAAAAGAATATGGAAACAATCTTTACCGACTACTGCTTTGGTTTACAGGTGAAAACAACAGGAAGGAATTATTTTTGACAGCTTTCAGAGGACTTTACCTGCATTGTGGAGGGCTTGAACCCGGTTCAAATATTCATTCACTTTGTCCTGGAGCCCTTCCAGTTTGGACCCTGCCATTCCAGCATAGATCAAAGCCTGGGCTGCCTCCTATAACACACAATTACTGTTCATTTAATGGTTCTTTTTTATTATTATTAATAAAAAGTAACTGAACAATAACAACATGCCAGAAAAAAAAATATAATCACTATTTAAAAAGATTTTACTAGAACTTGCCAAACAAACAGAAAAAAATATAAAACTGTCACAGTAAAAGTGGACTTTGAACTCACAGGACAAACACAGCTAAATGCTAACCACGACAGCTAGCAGCTGTTAAAGTGAAAACTTCAGCTACCTACCTTATAATAAAAAACAGCCTCATTATATTTGGCCTTTTGGTCATAGGTCACAGCCGCTTTGGCAAATTTGAAAGCATCGTGTTCCAGCGCTGTACAATCCATGTTGAAGCAAACTTTAATGGCTAGCTCCCTGCTAGCCAGCGAACAGGGCAGCTAACCACTGTGTTAGGGCAAATGTCTATCTTCATTCAGCACGCAGGTTTTCTTCATCAGCTCGGACTGTACATATTGGACGCTCTTCTTTCTCTTCTTTACGGTAAAAGACAAGAAGACGCGGATTAAAAGTTCAGCTTCTCCTTATGACTAAAAACACCAGCAAACATCAAAACAATACTGGCGTTTCCGGGGGAAAAAACCGACCGCGCAGCCGCAATAGAGACTCAGCCTCAGCTGTATCATGGTGCGTTTACTGAAAACAGGAAAAGGATGTTTCTAAATTACCACTACCCTAATTTAAACTTTAAAAAAGAAAAAAATACATCTTTAAAAACATGAACAGCTATGTAGGGAAATTAATAATGATTAATAATAATAGGAGCATGTCTTAGCTTTGGGAAATGCCTGCATAAACTACTCAAAAAAAGAGAAAGAAATAAAGCTTAGTTATCCACCTTATTTCAACACAGATAAAAAGGACACAAGATATTTATGAGTTTCAGAAATTGAGAATGTTGAAATAAAAATGTCATTTGACCTAAGGAACAAGAAGAGAAAAAAAAAAATCATTGGGTAGTTTCTAAATTTTGGGGGCTCTACATTATTACATAGGCCTATATTAGGTCTATTAATATTAATATTTTAAGGCTGTGTATGTTTATCCCCCCAAAGTATAGAAGAATAGAGTTCAATACATTCTAAAAAATATTTAGTCTACTTGATATAGCAGCTTTTTGACAAAGGGCTTAAGTTACAGAGGTGTCAGAAATATTCAGAAATATGTTTGGCATAGTTCAATTTCATTCTGTTCCTATCAGATTAATAAAATAATTGTTGAACCAATTATTTGTCTTCATGAAACTAGCTGATCAACCATTTAAAAGTGAAGTCATTAAGAACCTTTCCTATTGTATAACAAACTATTGTGAAGTTAGAAAACTTAGTGGGAAAGCATTTCTTCCATAATATTCAGTTTTATTTAACGTCCTTTGGACGGAGAGTATTTAAAAGCTCTGACTTAACCGTCCTAAGCACATACATTTATACTCTTCAAAATACCAGAACATTCTCACTCTCCCATGAAACTAAAACCCACCCCCTGCACAAAGATCTCTCACACTTGAACGTTTGGTTATTCCCAAGAAAAATACTTCAGTTCATCAAGGACATACATTTTAGCCACGGCATGAAGGGGCCTGTGTGAACTTACGGTATCTCTCATGACCTTCCCTTTACCCTTCTCTAGAGTAGGGAGGCATCTGCTTTCTGTCCCCCTAAAGATGTACCGCACAGTGAATGATACAGGATTTCTCTATCATTACTCATAATTCAAACAGGCACACTCAAAACATTTTATCTCACATAATAAGCCAACGAAAAATATGATTCCACACTATAAAACCCACTTCATTAGCACTGCACTATAACCACCATTTCTTCTCACACAAATGTTCTTTTAGTGCCCGTTGATTTTGATAATAGATTAAAATTCAAAACATTAAGACTTCTTAAAGAACTTATGAAAGCTTTTTTGTGTGTGTCATCATCTTCAATGTAACTTTAAGCTCTGGAAAATCAATATATAAACTCCTAAAATAAATAAATTTTGATAAAATCATGTGACAGTAAAAGTTTGTTAGTTTTGAATGTTTTTCTATCAACTTTGAGATATTGGGTCTATTGTTTAGATTCTATTAGTAATGTTGTTATTGTACAATATCTGAATAAACACACAATCTGTGGACAGTTCTACCTTTTCCATTTTTGATCGATGAATAAGCAGCTTTATTTATTTCTGGAATGTCCTGTATCATAAAATGGCAATAAAAAATAGTTTTTTTTTTGTTTTTTTTTACAGTGTATTTGTTGCCATTACAGATTATCAAAAGAAAAAAAAAGACAAGTAACTTTATCAAAACTATTTTTATTTTTTATGATTATCTGAAATGTACTTATATAATATACAAATAAACTATTACAATTTGAACATTTAATTAACAGAAGTTATTTAGGAGAAAAATAATTTCAAGATTTAAGATCAGTTGTTAAAAAAAACACCCAGGAAGCTTTCTTTTAAACCAAAATGTCTAATTTTCAGCCAAACCCCCCCCCCCCCCCCCCCCCCCCCCCAAAAAAAATGCTCTTTGGGTCTTCAGCAGTTGTTTACCACACATTTTAAATTTTTTGGTTGTAATATCAAAGCACTGAAGCTGTTCCTCAGCTCAGGATAGGAAAAAATGTGCTTAAAAAACAAAAAAAATAGTAATACCAGAATTATATGCTTCTGTTGATGTATATACTGTCGGTCTATATTTAACCGAGATGTATCTCAGATCAAACCACACATATAATCCTCAAAAACATAAGTGAAAATGTGTGTGTCGTAACATAGGAGTCATTGGGACCTATGGATGTGAATTCGGTTTATCACCAGTCTAGTGTTTTTTCTAGTCAGAACTGTAATTTTAGTATGTAAACCAAGAATACTTTTTGAACTTAAATCAGCTATTTTTATAGCTCCCACCGTGAGGTTGAGTGGATGGGGAGTGCTATTTCCCTTCAAAACTATTAAGTAAGGGAGCAATTTTTGGGGGTTTTACTGTGATTACACAGGAATTGCTACTAATTGCTCACTTGTGCTCATAATATTATAAATGATTGGTTAAAATATAAAAAAAAAACCCAACAACCTCATTATTGTCGTTTCAATCAGCAAAAATAACTTATGTTCTTATTACAATTTGTACAATTATGCATCTTCAAAAGTTTTTTTTTAACCACTTGTAAAGCTGCTCAACACCACAGATGTTTTAAATACTAATGTGTCTTTAATAAAATTTTATGCCAAGATTAAAGAACATACAGTATAGCTGGATCCTATTATTAGTTATTATTAATTAAGTAAAATCTGAAATTAACAGATTGCTTTAACTTTTACTGAATTGTATGAGAGTAAAGAAAGTTGCATAAAAACATGAACCATTTTGTATTTGGAAAAGCTGGTATCCCTTTTTTTTTTGCTTTAGTTTTGATCTAAACCCGATGAGAGAAAGTGATTGTGACCAGTGCACTTTAACCAAAATGTTATCGTATAAAGAAGATTGAAATGTAAAAGTTTTAATATTTTATTAAGGTAAAGTAGCAAAAAAAAAAAAAATCATCTGGTTTGTCCATCAGAGAAAAACAAGGTGCAAGAAAACTGTTAACTTAACTTTCAATTAACAGAAAGGTAGCACCCTCTAGCGGTCAAACAGCAACATTACTGCTGATGGCAAACAAAGGCAAAACACACAGTGGATTAAAAACACATTTAAAGTTACTGAAAATGACACTTTGACCACTTTGAGAAGAGAATAAAGGGCTACATGATCAAAGGTTTTAGAATATAAAAAATAAAATACTTTTATTCTCTCACTTTTAGACTTTTTCTTAACCTTTTTTATTTGCTTTTGTGGTTTAAACAGACAAAGCCTTCTTTTCACAGATATACCGTTGATTTGCACTGCAGTCCACTGATTTCCATCCACTGTACATAACAGATATAACACACTGATTGTCATTTGGTTGTGACTGAATCCAGTTCCTGTAGAGGAAAAAAATATTACAATTTGCAGAAGAATGATTAATTTAATTAAGTGAAATACTAAATATGTGTCTCTTACTTATTAGTCTCATTACTTCCATCAACCCACTTCCATTTGTTGCCTTCTGCTTTCAGGCCAATCCAGTATCCATCATTCCCTGAGCTATACCAACTATTCTGACTGACAAAAGTCTTGGACAAAAACAGAAAATATTATAAATGATATTCATTTTCCAGTTTTTAGGAAATATAGATTATGCACGGGGTTTATCTAAGTACCTTCTCACTTTCATCGGAAACCACAACGAGATCTGCATTCTTGCGTCGGCAGTCTTCACGTGCTTCTTTCCTGGTTTTCCTAGTATTGCAGGCATCGTTTATGGCATAACAGCTGGAGTCTTTATGAAGCCACCCGTCTTGACAAGGTTTGCATGTGTATCCTGAAATAACAGAGTCCACTCGTAAAAAAGAGTCATACATACAAATATTCATATTGGTGATTTTAGAATACAATCAATGTGATCTGGACATACTATTATAGCTCTTGGTACAGTATGCATTGATGCTCCATTGAGCACGGCTGACGTTCTGCTCGATCCACCTGTTCTCCAGGTTTTGTATTTGCTCTGTAAGGTTTCTCTTCTCTGACTCCAGCTCCTGGTTTTGATTTGTAAGTCTCTGTGTTTCTCCTGTCAGGTTTAAAATTCTACTTTCTGAGACATTAAATGCTTCAGAGAGGTTTTTAAACTCAACGGTCAGATTGGTGTGACCCTCCCTCAAGTTTTCTAACTCTGATATGAGTTTGTTGTTGATGTTTGTCAGGTTGTTATTTTCCCCCAGAAGAGCCGTTTGGTTGGTTTTCAGCCGGTCCAGCTCACTTACATCATGCGCAGGAATGAATGTGACTGCAATAGAAAAACAAGACGTGATTTCTTAACAGTTAAATCTTATGCAAAAAAGTTTTTTTCCACATTGATTTCAACCCATTACTACATCTGATCTGCTCCTTTCTGTCTTCTTTAAATGCAAAGTTCAAGCCAATTTATTTTCAAACAAATGTTCTTGTAAGAAATTGTAGAAATCTTCAAGCAAAATTAGGAATAGTGTTTTCATACTGCCTTGGAGGGATCACAGAGATATGTTAAAATGATAAAAAAAAAAACATACAGTATATAATATTGGTATGGTTAGTTATTTATAGAATATTGGCTTCATTTAGCTAACAGTTATCTGAACTAGAATTATTTTAGAATAAAGATATATTGATAAGTAAGTTTAATATCAAAAAGTTTTCCAGATACATCTCTGTGTGACAAAATGCCTTATCTGATGATATGTTTTTAATACAACGCTAACCTTCCACATATGCTCAGAGTGATATTCTGAGTCTAAGAGACGGAGAGGATCATGAACTACCTAAAACTCGCTCTTTCAAGAGAGGTTTTAAAGTGTTTGAATATCAACATTATTGCATACTTGGTGATGATTTATTAAATGTGTGATATTTATAGACTGTGCTTTCAAATCTATGCAGAAACAAATATGCTAATACATATGTTCTATATGTTTTCATTGTAAACTACCCATTTTTGGAGGTGTGAC